TCTACTTTCCCACTTGGCTCTGGTCAGTCTTTTAGTGCATTCCTCAATAACCATAATTTGAGCAGGGCCTAATGGCGCCAATAAAGAACATAAAGTGGTCCCTAACTTCTTCCTGCAATTCTCTGATAAAGCTTCTTTTCCCAGCAATGCATCTGTTTTCCTGTTGAAACATCTTTGTCCTAGACAGCACACAGCTCCCGAGCTGAACACAGACATGGCGAACAAACCTGCTGCGTTTCATGTTGAGCTGGATCCCAGAGGATCCCGAACACTCCCTTCACATTACGCTTCTAACCAAATGTAAGAAGTATCATAACAAAAGGTTCTGACTCAACAAATGTGCCTTCATGTCCCAGCATGTGTGAGGGAGCAAAGGTCTGGGGAAATGTGTGTGTTTCATGTGTGTAAATGCATTTAGACACAAGATCTTATGACAAGCGAGTGTTTGGTGGCTTTCCTGTACTTTGTAAATAAAGAAAGGTAGGGGAAGAGAAAACCATTCAGGCAGGGACAAGATGAGGCTGTGAAAAGGACTGAGAGAGATATCCAGACATATCCACCGGGACCTGAGTAGAGAAGAAGAGCGGCGGTGCACACCTAATGAAGGAAGAGAGAAGAAAAGAGGAGTGAAGGGAGAGAGAAAGAGGTCAGAGAAAGAGAGCACAGGTGATGGTTTTAAGCCGCTGGTGTCACAGGCAGATAAAGGCTCCTCAGCCGCCTGGCTGTCATCTGCATCGCACACAATATCCCCTTTATTTGCAATATCGCCTCTCTCTATTTTGCTTCATCTGCCTCCCTGGTGAAGCAGCTCCCAGTGTGATGCACTTTTTCTCTTCCCATCACACAACTGCCAGTGATACTGTATATATCACTCCCTCTCATTCTCTATCTTACTTGCTCTCACTGGCTGAAAAAAGAAAACTATATCTCACATGCAGTCTTTTTTTCTCACACACATACCCTCTCCTTACCTGCTGTATTTCTCACCAACCCACGCTGTTTTTCTATCCTCACACACTTTGTTTCTCTGTTTCCTTACATGAGTTTTACCCTGAGATCTCCTTATCTAACACTAGTATTTGCAGTATTATCCTCAGCACTGCTTCTTCTGAGTGCAATACATCATCATGATTTCATGCACAAGCCTTTTTTTACATATGGGAAATTTCATCAGGGACATATCAGTAAACATACCACAACTGCTTTTTAACTGAAATATATTATTACGCTCCCCCTGCTCCAAAGCCCCCTCATCTAATCTTGCTATTAAAATTCTTCTAATCTTGAATCTAATCATAATGTTTCTAAACTCTAATCCTATGAGTAAAATGGAAAGTGGAAGCAAACAAAATGACCAAAATTTATAAGATTTCCTTGTAAGCCTTGGATCGAGAGGATACAAGCAGAGGAACACTGATGCACACTTCATGCTCACTTTCACTCTCCACCTTTTTCTCTCTCTCACAATGGTCCATGCACACCCATGCACAAACAAACACATGCATGCAAACTGGAGTCACTAAACCATGGAGGGAAAGGATTCGGTTCATTGCTCACCCTGGCTGGTTTGATCAATGGCAGGCAGCCTCTTCCAAATCCCTCCCACAAACAGATCTGAATAAACAGACCGGGAGCGTTTACACAGGCCCTGATAATCTGCTAATCCATATAACCTGCTCTGTAACCAACACACACGCTGACATGCACTCAGCAATGAATATGGACACCAATGTTGTGTATATATGCAGGAACATAAACAGACAAGTGTGCATGAAAGCAGGAAATGCACAATTCTACACACAAGCATTTGAATACGAATACGTAAATGCTCAAACTGTATGAACTGTATGACTTTTGCCCATTATCGTCTTTGACCTCCTCAACAGGGCATGGCTGATAGTTTTGTTGAGGTTGATAACAGACAGAAGGGTTCATAGGAATTAATGGACTCTACACACACTGCACACATACACACGAGTGAGAATAACCTTCCAGTGCTGATGGATTTCACATACCACTGAAGCGTGTGTGTGTGTGTGTGTGTGTGTGTTTGTGCAACCTGGGTTAACAGAGCCCTGGTTGAATAAAGGCCTGTTAGTAAAAGTGGCTTTGAATACAAACGAGAAGGTCAGTGGATAAATGTGCATTAAAAAACCCACTACAATGTTATTTATTATTTCATGGTGTTATATTTTATTTGGGTTAAAAAACATGTTAAAAAAGTGTAAATTCATTGGGTTCCATTGTAATTTGTTTTGAAATAGATGTCATCTAGACTTTTATTTTGAAAGGGCACGCTGCTGCCGAGAGCCATGTGACTAGTAACAGCCAACCATATCGCTGTGACCTCTCTAGTTCAAGAAGAGGAAGATGCAGAGCCAGCTGTTATAGAAACTGTCAAAATGCTGTTTTTCATATCCTGAAAAATAAGTATTTTTGGTTATCCAACCTGTTGCTCTTACAGAGGTTTTTTTTATTTTTGCTTTACATTGCTGAACAGGACTTGGTGAACGACGAAAATGTATTTTATTTCACATACAAGTAATATTATTGCAATATGTTATTCTTTTCATGGAAATAGAAAGCTATGGTAGTGAATTTGTGTTCTATTAAAAAATTGTGAATATTATGGTGCCTTTTGAGCCTAATTGAGGTACATGCAAGTCAATGTCCTAGCATGTTTTCCGCCGCCATTACGGTAATGGCGCCATCTTAACGAGCACCAATTAAGAAAAGAATTGTCCCTTATTTAAGTTTTAAGCTACCTAGAGTTTTATTTTAAGTATTTATGTATGTTTTATGTTGTTTATGGTAGGCCTTAAGATTTGGTCGAATGATTGTGAGCTGGAGAGAGAGTTTAACAACACTTGTGTGGAACGAGATGGCGAGGCTCCCACGACGGATCTTATGAACTGTGCATATGCCAGAAGCTAAACGTTCTCTGCTAGACTGGATCTGGATCTCATCCAATCTGGTAGGATTTACCCACAATTTTCTGCAGAACAGCAGTGGACTCCAGATAGATTCAGAATTTGGTACCGGTACCGGTACCAAAATGTTGGTATCGTGACAACACTAATTCAGAATTTGCTCATTCGGACTGATCTAAGGACTAAGAAACAACAAAAGGACAATTTAAACTGTGGTGCACAGTTTTGTTCAGCCTTTTGCTGAATTATTTTGGGTTTATACATTTTGTACAATTTTTATTTTTATTTTTTTAATTATTTTGTTACTGTGTGTAAATGTCTGTTCTGTTTAAATCTGTAAATACTTCAAATGTATTTTTACTGGTCGGTGGTCATTGTTAAACTCACCTTGCTTACTCAAGGGCCCTAACTGCTCCAGTAGACGAACCTAGCCCATTTAACTGGTCCAGATAATAGTTTTTATCCTGTACACACCCTCGTGAGTGGTACATTTGTGCATCTGATTAATCATTTACCATGTTGCCGTCTGCTGTGCATTGTTCCCACAGCTTGATGGAATAATTGAAGCATGAAAATAAGCTATATATTCTTTTTCAAACCTCTTAATGGTCTGAGTTGAGCAGCATGAGTACAGAGCTCAGTGTCATTAACTTCCTCGCTACTGTACAGAGTAGTCAGAGTTATTGTATCTCCAGGAAAAAAAATACTTTTATTTTTAATCAAGTATTTGGATGGTCTTTATTTAATTTTCTCCTTTTGCACTGAGTTAGTAGCATGCATCATTTTTGGAGATTCAGTTAAAAATTGCACTATATTTAAGGGGAAATCTGGCTATTGACTTCTGTTTTAAGTTGTGTTTTGATAAAATCTTGTTTGCATATTCCATTAATTTGCTAACTGGCAGATTTGCCTGAGAATTCATATTTTTACTAGAGCGTCTTATTATTAAACTGTTATGCCACTAGCTCAGTCTAGGGGGATGAGGAAAGTAAAATAAAACTAGCCAAAGGAAATTCCAGGAGTCACTTGGTTCAGCTTTGGGTTTTATTTTATTGCCAGGCTTAACAGCTTAAAATTAACTTCAGGAAGACCCCAGGCCAAAGTAACAAATAAAAACAGCCCTAACCTAAAAATTGTCCTCTAGGCTAAGCTGAAGGAAATAAAAGACACAAACCTCTGTCTGGCTCCCTGACAGCCAAGATAAACAGGAAACAAAAGGCTAAGACAAAACAAAATGACAGCTCTACCTACAGGCTGCTGACAATAGGTCAGTTAGTTCAGGTAACTTCAGAGAAAACATCTGAGCTTAGCATAACCAGAATGAGACTAAGGACTACATCCTCACACTGACAACAGACAGAAAACAGGCAACAGAAGTAGCCAAAAGGCACAAATTCTTCTTCTTCTTGTTCAGTGGTGGGTGGGAACCAACTTTGAGGTGCATTAAAACAAGGCACGGGGCAGTGGTGTTGCCTCACAGGTTCGAGCCCCAGCTGACCTGATGCCTTTCTGTGTGGGATGTGCAGTGTTTTAGAATCAACATTTTTGTTATGAAAGTGAAGTCGATGTCGACTAGGTGCTGATGGGGTCATCACGATATCATCCAAAAAACAAAACAAAACAGCTTTAACAGGTTCTCAGTGTCACTGGACCAGTAGAATTGGGTGTCATCCACCAGTTGGCAGTAGTGAGCAAATTGTGGCTTGGTGCACCAGAATGAGGTGAAGAAGAGCTCAAACTACACAAGGACAAGCTTCATTGGAAGTGTTTAAAACATTGTGGTCGATTTTGTATTTGTGTGTGTGGTTTGTTTGCTCCTCTCAGTTAAGTGTAGTGCACAGCTGTGTCCTGAATGTTTCTAAAAGATGCATCCACTACCTTCTATTTTGAATGGGAGCTTTTCTGTATTTTGTTTGCAGCACTCTTAAAGCTGTTTTTTGAAAAACAAATGATGAAGTGCTTGCCATAGCCTTTCACGCTGTTACACTTTGACTGATTCTATCCTTCAGTACACTTCAGTACAGCATCTTTGTTAATTGAATATTTTCTCCCCTCTCCTGCTCTCTTCAGATACGGTGGACAAAGACGGCAGGCAGTGCATCAGACAAGTTCCAGGAAACCTCTATCTACAATGAGACGCTGCGCATCGAGGGCATCCAGAGGGTGCAGGGGGGTCGCTACTACTGCAAGGCCGACAACGGGGTGGGGGTGGCTGCCATCAAGTCCATCCGCGTAGATGTGCAATGTAAGTGGGCACGGAGAAAAATAAAAACTCCTTCCACTTCTAGACCACAGCTGACTTTCACTACAGCCGTTCCCACTATTGGAGAAGACAGAGATGGGCAGAGATGGAAAGATTGGAGGAGGAAAGATGAAAGACAGATTGGATAGATGATGAAATTTCAGGTGGGAATGGCTGCCAGGAGTATTTGATGACTTATGGTGGAGAGGATGAACAGGTGAAGATGGGGGATTAGGGGGAAAGAGGATAGATAAATCGAACTGCAGTCTATGGGAAGAGTATAGATAAGAGCTCTTGCCACACATTGATCTCAATTTCACTGCACTTTGTTCTTATAGAATACCGTTGTTTCAGTGGATGGACAATGCAGGTGTGTGTACTCCACCAATGAGGTTAATCAGACAATCACATACTCCTGGAAAAAAGTAAAGTCTGTGGGATACCCAGATTTTTATAAGAGTTAGTCCAGGCAGTACGGGCTCCCTAACCCACTGTTTCTCAACTAACCCAGTTCCCCTCTGCTCTAAAGAAACAAGGGAGGGTGTCTGAGACTCTGTCGTGGCTCCTTTATTATTGTTTGTATATGAAAGGGAATTAGATCACGTTGCTGGTGTAATTTCATCTTGGACACCAGTAATTTTCCATAGTGACCCTCCACACTGAAGAGTTTTAACCCATACGAATTTCAGCATGTGACATTGTGGTGTTGTGGAGAGCTATGCAACATGTTCACAATTTGCTGAAATTAAATAAAAAAACATCCACTGACCTTGGTGGAGGATTAACAAGATAAAAAGTGAAGTGCAAGGCTGTTAAGCCAGAACTGCTTGATCACTGCTGAAGTTACAGTAAGCTTCAGCATGTCAAGAACAGACACAGTGTGGTGCCCTTGGTTTGTGTTCCTTTATCTGTTCTTATTAAAAATACTTTCAAAATGTATTCTTGTGCAGCCAAGGTTACTGTCAATTTTTGTAAATTAGCCAGTGTAGTTGTTGTACATGCTGAGGTTAGCAGCACTGACAGGTTGCTATTCATTCCAAAGGCTCAGATGCCACATCATGAAGATATAGTACAATACAGTATGTGATTTGGAAACTTTTTTTCTTTTTGTTTTGTGGCCTCATGTTCAGACTAGACCCACCTAGCTCAACATGTGACAGTTGAGAAGCAGTGTTGTGTTGTAGGGGCCCCGTGCTGCTGCTTGTTTCACTGCCCTACTGTCCCTGTGAGTCAGGGGCCAGGTCATGGCAACAGGTTGATTCACATGCAACTATATACAGACAACACATCAATACTACTGTACACTTTAATTTCATCCCTAACACCCTAAAATCTTTTCCCCATCCATTATGTTTATTGCATAGATCATTCCTTTCTTCACTGATTCAATCATTTTAATGACCAGTTTATAGGCTAACGGAAAAAAGTTGAATTTCCAAGGGTCCTACAACAGTAAGCGTCTGTTACAGTGCTTGCCTCTCATTTGCTAAATTAATCCCTTTGTCTGCTCTGCTTTGTGTACAGCACAACACTCTGGTCTGCCACTGCTCCTTTAGTATCGCATCTTATGCCATCTCTTGCATATACGTGCAACAGCATAGTTTAATGTAAGTGTATGGGCACATCCATAAAAATACAGTACACACACAATCTGTGTAGGATTTTAAATTGACCTCTTTGTGGGCTTCACGCTGCCTTCCTCTTCCCTCCTTGCCCCTTTTCGCTGATAGTGGTACCTCTCCCCAGGCACTAGCTTGATTCTGTTTGGGGCGATAGTAAACAGGTTGTATTGTGAGTGTAGTTGTGACAGGAGGTCCGTGACACTAACCAGCTCTGACAGTCGATACTTGTTCAATTCCCCATCCCCCATGCTGCATTAGACCCAGCGGCAATCGGCCACGCTTCCTACACAGGGCGACCTTAGTGCTAGAGCAGTGTAACAATTAGCCCAGGCTACTGGGCAAATGGAGAAAGAGGCAGAGATAAATAGAAGAAAGTGGTGGGGAAGATGGAGGTGAGAGTGAGGAAAGAGGGGTCGTAAGCAGGGAGGAAGGAAGAAGGAAGGGCAGGGAGGGAACAAGCAACAACCACCACGGCTTAGTGTTGAAGTCAAAGTAAAAGATGCAATGTGAACAGTATGGAGATCAACTGGAAAGACATGTAAACAAAAACAAAGCCCAACAAAGTCAATGTACATGATACTATGTATATGAATGTGCAGGTGGGTGGCAAATTAAAGAAGAAGAACTACATGGTTTAAGGTGTTGAGCCAGTGGCCACTAGAACAGTGTTGGTCTATGTTATGTGATTATTGAACAGGTGCCAGAATAGCATCATCATCGTTTTTATCTTTATCTATTTGCCACCAATCTGTACAATCATTGTAATAAATTATTTTTTTCATAAGGGATTGGGGTCCTAAAAACTAATTTTATATCTGCTACTGTTCAGAAAACATTGTTCCATCAGTTACTTTTAGGGGGATATTTACTAAACCTGTTGCAAATTACCATCAGGTGCGCATAATGTCACAGCACCACAATTTACATTTAGTGGTGTATTTACCAACACTGATGATGTAAAGGAACACAGCTGCATGTGTGTTAGTTTGAATACATGGCTGCTTCTAAGAACCCGGTGCCTGTATTGTGCATGCATGGACTAAGACAGAGCATAGGACAAAGTATAAGTTTACAGTGACTGAACTTTACTATGGTTGAGTAAATCAGCAAACATACTTTGGAATGGCAGTCGTAGTCTCCTGCCAGTCAAATCATCCTTTATTTCATTCAGTAATTTAAGTTTCACCTGAAAACTTGTAAAAGGCCCTCACATTCTCCTCTGCCGAGTGAAACAATTTACAAACATCCTCTCCCTCCTCAAGCATGTTGTTAACTCTGAAGAGATCTCAGATGACTAACAGCTGCCATGCTGAGGCAGGGCCAAAGATTTTACACCCTGCTCTCTCCTGACTGTAATTTTCAGCCACACTTCTCTCTGTGGCAGTGGTGGTAAGTCAGGTGCTGAGGGTATTTGTATAAATGTCCGTTCTCTCCTCCTTTATTTTGCCTTCTGGAATGGGAGCAACTTAAGATACATATTGCGCGAGATCAAACAAATTCCTGCAGTGCCACTTTTTCTCTGTCACAAAACCCCATTGTGACTCCTTAGTAAATATGAACACATGTGATTTCACTGTTTAGCACCAAAAAAATTAGCTGCAAATCCTTAATAAATATCCCCCTTAGAATTTGATTGTTGTTTTGACAAATACAGTAACACTTAGGCCTCAGTAATTAGCCGTTGTGATTGCTGCTTGTTTGCTCAAAATCAGCTTCATCCAGGCAACACTGTGGGCCAAAATTTGGCTTATCTGGCTCTAAACAACTAACAAGCTAGCAGCTGGTGGTGAACACAAACTCCAGCCTCCAAAACACCAATGGATGATGTGTCTATAGAGATGGCGCACAAGAAGCAAGAGAAGCAGCAGCTCCAAGCAAGAGTGTTCAAGGCCAAACTGACCTACACAGTAAAAAGTCCGGTGTTGATTTGACTCTCAGAGTTGATTTTAACTCTATTTCAGAGTTTATATAGCTCCACACTTTCCAGAGTTCAATTAACACTTTCGAAATGGTTAAATATTTAACACTTTTTCAGCATTACCTTTTTTTTTAACTCATAAAAGTGTTAAGGAAACACCAAGAGGGATTCAAATTAAATACGGCAGAGTTACCTTTTATAACTCATAAAAGTGTTAAGGAATCACCAAGAGGGATTAAAATTAAATACGTCAGTTACATTTGGTAGTGGTAGTGTCACTCTGTTCAGTGTTAACCTATGTACTTTAAAATGTGTTTAAATAAAATCCACACACAAATTAATTTCCATAACATTTATTTGTTTTCTTTCCCAATTCCAAGTCAATTGTGTAATTCAATTAAATTACAAAGCAAGGTACAATATACAAACCTTCATCTGCAACACTATAAGAACTCTGAATGTCAAACGGCCTATAAAATTTAAGCTTAGACATTTTAACAGTACACCTTTCCTCATTTCGTAGTACTCTAAATGCATGATGATGTTCATCAAAAATCTCTGTGAATAGCTTGTTTCCTAATAGATAAATCAGATTTTCAACCAAAAGTACATCACTTATTTCACAAAAAACTGGCAAATCATCTTCCACTGCAGTGCAAATTACAAGTCCAGCTCTATATTCTACACCATCAACTTTAACCCAACTTGTTGAGAAAACATCATTTGACAAGTTCACGTCAAGCATTTCAATGTTGACAACATTCTCAGGTGTCAGGGAAAATGACTTAATTGGCCCATACTCAATATTACTGAGGGTGAAGGTTTCCCAGTGATGGGCAATGGCCATCTGATGCTTTTTTGCAAATGATTTAGTTAAGTTTTTAAAGTTTTTCAAAGAATCTTTAAACCACTTGTGCTTGGCTTCAAACCGCATACTCCACATATATAACAAGGGGCCAATTTTCCTTATAGAAGATGGGTAATGGATCATAAAATGATGTTTAGTGAATCTATAAATGCCCCCCCCCCCCCCCCACAACTTGTGAACGAAACAACTTGTGTACACTAAGTTATACTAAAGTTAGAAAATAAAATGTAACGTGTACTCTATTACAAGATTTTGTAAACGTTCCCATCCCTAGTTCCAACCATTTGTGCACACGCGCGCACGCACACACGTAAGCACTCGCACAAATGCAGGACGAAAATATGCCGCAGCATATTCACGTTTCAAAAATATTCACGTTTAATAAACCCTAACACGGTAGTAACGATAGCAATTACTTAAATGTAGAGGGCAACATACGAGGAGCCTGTCTGGGCATGTTCACGGTTGCTGCTGCTCACAATGACTAAGACACAGAAATGAGTAACTAATGTTAGCAACTACATTTCTCAAACGTACTATTTGCGCACAAAGCATACACACAGTACATGTAATAACTTAGTTTATCACGTCAACA